AACGTCAATTTTTTAAAACCCCGGGATTTTTCGTCTGCGTGAAGAAAACTGTGTGGAAAATCCAAGGAATTGCTTTGCTCTCCGCCAAAAAGTAAAATGGGAGCGGAGATTTTTGAATACCGCAAACGATGTAAGTACGTGGCTTAGGAGTTTCATCGTCAAAATGTTCCTCCCCAGCCCCTAATCCAGGGCCGGATTTAGGGGGTGGTCCACATGGGCCGCGGCAATTTTAGGGGGCGGCAAATTTTGCAAATTTCCAAATTTAGGTATAAAAATTAACGGATTCAGAAAAAAAAATTAAAAACGAGAAAAGACGACAAAATCTCTCATTTCCTGAGAGTTAAAGTATACATATAGTAATGAATTTTTTGCGTTGAATTTGTTCGTCTTCCAGCGATACAAGAGACAGCGCCTTTCATTGGTATAGTTGAGAGAGAAACCAAACACGGAGTTTGGCCTTGAGCGGCGCGGCGCAAAGAGCAATGATGACGAGGATTTGAGTTGAAAAGGAGAAGCCCTTCGCGCGCCGCGTCAGTCAGCATGAAACACATTTAGCGCCTACAAGACTCCCCGAATACTTCACGCATTGCGTCAAACGCAGTGCGGTCAGCAGCGGTTGGCGTGAGACTCATGGTGCCTACAAGACTGCATGAATACTTAATGCATTTCGTCAAAAACAGTGCGGTTAGTGCGGTGGCGGAAATAAAATTTATTAAACCACATTCATATTTATTCTTTCATAATTTTTTCGTTCATTTCTTATAAATGGAAGGTCTGGACCACACAGAGGTAGGTTTACGGAACTTAACTTTCGCGGTATGTTCCGTGAACTTTGGCTAGTGTTGACAGGGCTTTCGCAAAAAAATGTGCCCAGCACGAATAAACACGTCTTATGCACCCCTCCTACTCCGGCTGGTTCACTTGATGGTTTGTATTGATATTTCAAAACGAATGAAAAGGGGGTGGCCCACGGGCGGCAAGTGGGTATAAATCCGGCCCTGCGGAAGCACTGCAAAATCCCAAAAGATTCTACAAACCTGTAAAAAAGTTCATCGTTCAAGGACTACTTAGATTTCCTATACTTTAGAGACTTACCTTACTCTCAGCAGCTTCGTTGTTGAAATTTTGTGTTTGTCGGGTAACCACGCAGGTTTTACTTTTCGGGTCAAAATCGAAAGTTCTCAGATCGGGCTGAAATGAAGCTCGTCCCCCATAAAATGCGTCGAGGAGTCCGAATTTCCGGTCCAAAATGCTTCACGAGTCGATCAGACTTGACAATCGCGGATAACCGCGGATATTCGACCATGCCCGAAATGTCAAGAAAGTAACACTCGTTTTTTACTGTTTCTCGGTTCAGGAAGCTCCGGCGAGCCTCGGGACCACGCGGAATCGATTCTACGCCTCCAAGTACCTACATGGGATTTGATACTAATCTCGGATTATTTTCTTTCATCGGAATGAATCGGAAAAAATCGACTGGGGTTTCATGGACTAAAAGAGCTTGATGCAAAAATAGCTTTTTCCGTCCCCCCTCTGGAACCGACTAGAAAATCCCACTCAGCGGGTCAATTCCAAGCGAGCTTACTTGGTTTTGGCCCGATGGGCGAACTTCCGATTTTGACCCGAAAAATTTAGTCCATGGAACCCATGTCAATTTTTCTCGATTTTGGAGTGAGAAAAAAAATTCGAGATGTCAGTCGCACCCTAATTATTTGGAGGCGTAGAATCGATTCCGCACGGTCCCGACTCTCGGCGAGACTTCCTGAGTCGAGAAACAGTCAAAAACTGGTCAAAAACGAGTTTTTCAGACCAATTTTTGACTCTTTCTTTGGAGCGTCCTCAGCGGATAACTCGAAGCGAGGGACTGGCGGAGCTTTTTCGACTGGAAAATCGCACTCAGCGGGTCATTCGCAAGCGGCCTAGCTTGCTTTCGGGTAGATCGGTGAACTTTCGATTTTGACCCTAAGTCCATGTAACCCTTGCCGATTTTCCTCGATTTTAGACTGAGAGAAAAAATTCGAGATTTCAGTCGCATACTAATTATTTGGAGGCGTAGAATCAAATCCACACGGTCTCGACTCTCGACGAGACTTCCTGAGCAGAGAAACTGCCAAAAACTGGTCAAAAACGAGCTTTTCAGACCAATTTGCGACTCTTTCTCTGAAGCGTTTTCAGCGGATAGCTCAAAGCGAGGGACTCGCGGAGCTTTTCCGACTAGAAAATGGCACTCAGCGGGTCAATTCCAAGCGAGCTTGCTTTGTTTCGGCCTAATGGACGAACTTTCAATTTTGACCCTAAAAATTCCCTGTCGATTTTCCTCGATTTTAGACAGAGAAAAAAAATTCGAGATTTCAGTTGTTTACTAAGTATTTGGAGGCGTAGAATCGATTCCGCACGGTCTCGACTCTCGACGAGACTTCCTGAGCCGAGGAGCAGCCAAAAACTGGTTGGTCCTTCATTTCCGGTAGAATCTAACGAGACGCTCAAGGCCCGGACCAAACTTGCGGTTCAAGTCCTTCAAAACGGCGTTAAGAACGCCTTCAATTCAATGCTTCTGCACTAAATACAGCAAAGTATATCGAAATGTATGCTAGGTGTACGGTTAGTGGTATCATCGCCCTCTCGAAGGCGCTTCTTTTTGTTGCGGCTTGTTGTCTATTCTTGCGTTCAAGTTCCCGACGATTTCCATGACTGATCAATTTCTTTGAGCCAGAATTTTGTAATCATCTAACTTACGGAATTCGAAAGAATTATTTTCCACTTCTCACTGCTAGAAACAACTCGAATTTTTTGCCTTGGTTCAGACGTGCAAATAATTTTATATCGATTCCTCTCAAATTAAATTGCCACTAATATTTGAATTGTGATCCTGATCCCGTTCTCTATCTTTTGCCGCATATTTGCCGTATATCAATTAAATATACAATAAAATAGTGATTTTATCGACAGCGACTTTTTGCAATATTATCGAACTATAAATCGTAATGAAGAGATGAAATTTCGATTTCATTGATATAAAATGGCGACAAGATCGAGGATAATCGCTCATATGTTGATGACCCTAGCAATTTTATCGCCAAATTGGACCAATCACAGCACTTGACCGTGACATTTTGATGGAGTACTTTGATAGTGTGACACAGGATATGGGATGAAGATGGAATCACAGCCTTGCGTGGGGACTTACCACCATTAAATAATCATGGCCTCAATTTCGGGATTTTTTTGAGTTTGGAAGTTCATTCCGGAGTGGATTCGAGACATGATTATGTTTCTCGCGCTTCATGAAGCAGTAATAGTATACGCACTTCAATAGCAAATCCCTAACAAATAAAAAAGCTCCATCATGTCATGATGTACTCGTACAGACGAATGAATATGGAAAAAAAGAGGTGTAAAACGCAGATGGAAATGAATTGTTGTTACTCGTATACTCTGATTTATGATGATTATATGATTTACACTATTTGAAATATACGATTTATGTGTATACTGTCATGGGTATTTTCTTAATTTTTTCTCCCATTAAAAGTTTTTTTTTTTTTTTTTTTTTTTTTTTTTTTTTTTTATAGTAGCACACTCAGGACTAATTGGAAAAAAGCATTAGTAGCGAGTTGAATATAAGAACTTAAATCGAACACGTCAAACGCAGGGGAAAACGAACGGAAAAACAGAGTCAAAAGAAAATGATAAGTCAAAAACAGAGGTGTCTTCAAATTTGTTTCGAGAATTTTATTGCACTGGGGGAACACATAACTCTTTCGGAGTAAAGCAATCCAAAGCAAATATTGAATTCAGTATTGGCGAAGTGGGAACGATCGATTATCGATATTTCCCCGTTTGAAGCCGCGGTAAAGAATTGATTATTAAGGAGTTCGTTGCGAAAACCCTGTTTATCGATCCTTTTCCGTAGGTTTGAAAGGCAGAGCAATCGATAAGTCACAAGTAGGCCACGCTACTGTATAAATTTGCTGCCGCGAAATGCGCGCCTTTGAAACAGGATGGTTGTGTTGCTTACTTCAAGTTTCCTCGTAGGTTTTAAACCCAAGTATTGCTGAGCTCTAAGTGTACGGTTCGCCTATACTTCCGCACTAAGGAAAAACGCCGTATGAACCTCCAGGCGTTACCAAATTTCCTTCGATAAAACGAGAATTCCCTGGTATAAACTTATGAATATTTTTCTTTCAATTTTTCAGAGAACTTTGTTCGTTTATCGTTCTAAAGTTCCAGAAAATTTCAAGGAAAAATATTCACGACTTTCCTCAAAAATAAACATTTTATCAAAGAAAATTTGGCAGCTCTCGGATGTTCATACGGCGTTCTTCCTTAGAACGGCAGTATAGAGATTGAGGTCGTTAAATGTACGTATTGCAAAGACTGTTAGCGTACCCCACCCGGTCTTGGAAGGCGCGAAGCTATCTCAGAGGGTTGGGCCACGTAGCAGCTAGAGGGCTTTCTCTCTAGTTTCTCATAAAAGGGGACCGGGACCCACTCCCTCTGACGTGAGGGCTTATCTTTATTTTCACATGAGCCCCAGGAAACACAGACTCAAATGGAGAATAGGGATCACGTGAAAGTTAAGATACGTCCTTACGTCTGAAGAACGCCCTTCTCGCGTCTCGTTTTATTTTTGGGTTTGTGTACATCAGGCTGTATCCCTTTGGATATAGAGCCAGAGAAATAATATTAGGATGTTGTCTTGTTCAAGTAATTTTTTCTTTAGTTATACTTAAATTTTTCCTATTTTATGTATTCAACTCGGGCTTGCTGGCGCATCACCAGTTTCAGCAGGTTCGGTGGGATGGTTGTAGAACTTCGGAGTGTAGCCAGTCACTGGTTGACGACAGAAGGGGCAGTTGAAAGATTGTACAGGCTGATTCTCATCAATAATTCGCCTTCCACTTATGGTTTGGGTGCAAGTATAACAAATTTCATGATTGCACGGTATCAGCGCCAACTTGATCTTCCTATCCATGCAAATCTTGCAACTTGAACCTGAAAAAACCGCCGGATGAAAACTAGTGTTATCCACCGAAAAAGAATTGCAGTATGGGAAGAACAAACCGTGGTCAGAAGTGTAAAGTCTCATTTAATAGATCGATCGAACCTAACTTTACATCGAGCTACTAACGTAAACAATACTAACCATACGGGGGTGTCCCGAAATTGCACAACGCTGAATTTGTGGTTTTCAACCCCCACGGGGTGACGCTGTAACGCCCCCTAACGCGTTTGTAGACCCCTAGAAATTACGCAACACTTGTCCTGAAACCACCACCCCATTTTTTCTCGTGATAAAAAATAATCTAAATATCACCGTACATTTACTGAACAGATTGACATTTCCATTTAGTGAGGAAAACTGAAAGTCTTGCAGAGAATATATTTTCGAGATTCTTTAAAATTTCTACCGCCACGCTGCTGTAGTTGACATCACGAGTTCTCGTTTGCGGTTAAGTAACTTCAGTGTGAATATTTCATATCCTACATGAATCTGTATCGCATTCTGATTGAAAAGTTTCGAGGTATGAACCTCAAACAAAGTAACCTACATAGCCTCCAATTGACCAACAAAAACACCGCCGACGCGATGCCGCCGAGTATTCTTCCACTACGCATTCCGCTACCATATTGATCGTGTCGAGCTCTCCGTGTGACCGAAGTGCTCTCCTCGCTATATGACGCGTAACCCTTCAATTTTTAGTTTAGTCCAAAGACCTCATAGGAACTTACATTATTGAACCAGGTGGTGCTCTTATGCCAACTTTCGAAGAAATGAAAGGCATTTTTTTTCAAATTTACAGTCATTGAAAATGAGTTGTTTGTGTAATGTCGCGGAGCAAAGTGCCCTACTTTTGGGCCTCGTAATCCCTTGAATTTTGAGTTTAGTCCAAAGATCTTTTAGGATCTTAAATTAATGACCCAGGTGATGTGCTTGATGCCCGATTTTAAAGAATTAAAGGCATTTTTTAAAATTTACAGTCCCTCAAAATGAGCTTTCCGTGTGATTTTGCTAAAAATGGACAATTGAGCGTAGCCCCCCGAAATTTTAGCGTACCTCAAAATCGTTGGACGTGCATGAGGAGACCATAGATATGGTGTCCTGTGCCAATTTTGAATGAAATCGAACGGATAGATTCTGAGATATCGCTGTGGACAGATTTGGGGGACGCCACACGGACGGACACACATTTTTTCAAGTATGATTATTTTTACTCCTGGGACCTTAAAACGTCTAGAAATGATGAAATTTCAACTTTTTTTTTTTTTTTTCTTGGAGGATGACAATACTTCCTCTCTACCCTATGGGAGCGAGAAAGTAAAAATGACTTAACTGACTCATTCGCAGTTCAAGTTTCTCATAACGGCGTTAAGAACGCCTTCAATTCAATGCTTCTGCACTAAATACAGCGAAGTATATCGAAATGTATGCGCGGTGTACGACTAGTGGTATCAACGCGTTCTTGAAGGCGCTCCTTGTTGGCACGGCAATCCCTATACTTGTGCGTTCAAGTTCCTGACGATTTCCATGACGGATCAATTTCTTTGAGCCAGAATTTTTGTAATCATCTATAACTTACGGAATTCTATAACTTCTAAAGACGACCGATGAAAAATTCTGCAAAAACTTCTTCATAAAAAGCGCGGCATATAAGCGGGTCGTATCTCCTAGTATTAAACTATAAGCATGGTGAAAAAAATGAACAACCGCCGTGACGAAAGGCATCATATTTCTGCTGTGATAGCGAAGAGAGCAGTAAGTGCAAAGATGAAGTTTTGAAAAAAACAGGCTCAGAAGCTTCTGATCGGGAAATTTTATTGAAAGAAGCCTCCGTCCTTTGTCAAATTGCCACTAATCGTCTGAAAAACTCCTAAAGATCGTTTGGATGATCGAAAATCGACTGATTTTAGTTATATTACATAAAAAGGCTATTTCTCATTTTCATGCTAGGTTATTGTTAGGGAAAACAGCAGTAAGTACTATCTTCTGCATGCGTTCGTAGTTGCGTGTTGGACACAACAAACACATTTTCAGGTTAGAAATCGGCAGATAAGGAAGGCATTCCTCTTGAAAGCACCGTTTTCATTGGCTCTCATGCACCTACGGCTGTCTTGAAAAAAACTATGTCATTTTTTGTGCACTTACGACTTATTCATACGTCTCGTTTTCATTAAATTAAGATGAATGTTGCTGTTTTAGCTGTCTCAGTAATTTCATATTAAAGAGTTTAGACGAATTTTGAAGAAAACTCGATTTCGAAAATTTTGCACTTACGGCTCTCTTCGCTATCACGGCAGATATTTCGACATGTCCGCACTCTCTGTCTCTCTCTCCACCTCTCTCTCTCTCTCCCCCCCTCTCTCCCTCTCTCTCCCCCCTTTCTCTCTCCCCCCTCTCTCCCTCTCCCTCTCTCCCTCTCTCCCTCTCTGTAGACTTACCGGTTTCCTTTTCGTCATCAGTGTCGGGAGCCTCTTCATCCTTCGGATGTACTTCGTCCCGTCTGGGGCTTCTCGGCGGAGACGGCGGCGCGAAACGAGGATTTTCAATTTGTGGAGGGAGTCCAGCCGCTGTTGAAGCAACAGAGAAATTTGATATAGAATCAGAGCATGACGGAGCGACAAACTAAACCCCCTCTCGCTTTTCTCCGTGGGGTCGCCGGCAAGTAGGAGGGACGGATCTTTCCGTAGCATTTCCGCTGGCATCAGCGCTTTTTCCAAGGAGTTATCGCATATTTTGTATTCCATCTTCGCACAGTGGATCGTGTCAATTTGAGAGGTCGATCATGTCATTTTTGACAAAAACTGTGAATTTTCAAATTTTGAAATTTTTGCGTTAGCTCGAAACAGCTGTAGTGAAGTATCAACAACAATTTTTAGAAAAATTGGTAAGGAAAATTTTTACAAAAATTTCAAAATTTGATCAAATATGGCCGATAAAGTTAACAACAGAAGTGATAACAACTGTGAATTTTTATGTTTACTTCGTCCTAATTTAAAGTTCAAGGGGTGTTTCTAGTCGAAAATTTCACGATAAAACCAATAGAACCGTTTTTAGAACTTCCAAATTTGTATAAACGGAGTTATAAGCGCTGAAAGTTTCCAAATTTTGTCCGACCTTTTCTATTGACTCGATCCACTGTGTGTCGAGTCACGGTTGCATTTTTTATTTCATTTCAAAATATGCACTTTTTCTCGAGGTTTCACGCAATCCTCTCTCCCCTCCCTACTCGTAAAAATATAATAGCTGCCTTTACAGAAAGCGTGAGTCAATTTTGCTGAGATTTTATAGGAAACCCGTCTCCGTGAACCTCTAACTACCATCTAAATGTAAACTCCAAATATTAATTTTTACTCCAGCTATAGCGCGATCCCCGCTTTCTACCAATACAAATTGTAAGAGGCCACTATTACGTAACGCGTTGGTCGATTTTATTGAAATGGGCCTGTTGCAAACTTTTGCTAGAGCAAAAATAAGAGTTGTTACTCACAGAAGATGTCTCAAAAATCAGGATGAGGGAATCGGCAAAGTCTGAAATGCGCATCTTATTTCACAATTTGCGTAAGATTTTGGTTTTTGTTTTTACTTCCCGCTTCGAAAACGATACCATGGCACAGGTGGGATTGAATGAAACGATTCCTCTAACGAAATTTTCACCTGTGCTGTAGTATCCTTTTTGAAGCTTAAAAAAACGCAAATTTCTTATACAGATTGTGAAGTTAGGAGTCCATTTCAGAGTTTGCCGATGCGCTCATTGTGATTTTTGAGACATCATCTAGAGGGAACAACTCTGATTTTTGTTCCAGCAAAAGTTTGCAACAGGCCCATACAGCAAGAAACTAACAATAAGTTTAGTGCCATGTTGATCGGCCTTTCATGGAGAGAAAAATTCGAGCCTCGGTGGTTTGAGGTTTTAAATTCAAAGAAGTCGTCTTGTAAAACAACGAGATCGACAAATTAATTTCTACTTGTAAGACCTTAATGATATGTTCACGAATACCTTCCATTATGGAAGAATATTCTACACACTTGTCGGCCTCCTATGGTGTAGTGGTTGTAGCGCTTGCTCTATAATCGGGAGGTCCCGGGTTCGATTCCCGGCCAGGCGACCCGAGTTTGATGGTCTCAAACAATGGTTGCCTGGGGCTGGTTCAGTAGGGACGGAGGGGGGATGGGACTTAAAGCGTGGGATTAGCCCTTGTGGGCTATTTGAAGTAGTAAAAAAATAAAAAAAAAAAAAAAACTTTCCAACACAATGCTCCAAGAACACTCATGTTTACTCATTGTAATCTTTATGGTATTGTATCTTATTTTGATTGCTCTACATTGTATAACTGACTCGTCCATAAATAAAAAAAATTAATATTAAAAATGAGGGGATCCATAAAGTGCGGTCACGTAGTTCTTCATTTTATTTTATTTTTGTAAACACATGTAGAACTTACCGATTCGTGCTCGGTTCAATGCTTGAAACATGTCTGTAAGCCACGGAACGGATCCATCTGCGGGCAAAAAGTCCAAGTGCGCCACCTCCCTTCTTACGAAGACAAATTTCCGAGTCGTCCCTTGAACTGAAGAAGAAATATAAATGCACCCAGATAATGAAGATGTTGCATGTGTGAGGAATTTGCAATTTGACTGTTGATTCTTGTGTAAAAGTTCGCGAGAAACACGACGGTCCCACTGGTTATCTCTGAAATCAGCTCCCAAGCTCAAAAAAAGCTCTCAAAGTTGAGGCCAAAATGAAGGGGATATCCCACGCTATCCTGAGAGTCCACCTCTACATCAAGACAAACTCTCCATGCCAAGATAGGGAGCAAATACATTAGCAGGGTTGCCACTTTATTTGAGGACTCCAAAACTGAAAACACGGCAACCCTGCTAATGTACTTGCTCCCTATCTTTGCATGGAGAGTTTGTCTTGATGTAGAGGTGGACTCTCGACAGCGTGGGATATACCCTCCATTTTGGCCTCAACTTGAGAGCTTTTTTTGAGCTTGGGAGTTGATTTCAGAGGAAACCAGTGGCACCATAGTGTTTCTCGCGAACTTCTACGTAAGAATCAACAGTCAAATCGCAAATTCCTCACACATGCAACATATCCATTGCCAAATGTAAGCGGCCTTCCTTCTTCTTTCATCCGAATCTTCCTTCTTTCTTCTCTCTCTTTTTTTCGGGTGAACAGGGGCGGGGGCGGGGGGGCGTACACGCTTCCTGGATCCGCCTCTGCCGGGCTCACGTGGAAATCGGGATACGCCCTTACGTCACAGGAGCGACAAAATGCACAGAGTGTTTCAGAATTAGAAACTTGAGTCCTGATGCTCTCTGGATCAAAATAAGAATTTCCTCCCCTTATCAATATAGGTAGGTTCTAATGACAAGCATCTTCAAGCAATAGACCCTTTCCTCCGACCAAATTTCAAGTGGAGCTAAAAATCTTTTTTTATCTCTTTTTTTAATCTGAGCCAATTTGAGAGATCGCAAAGCGACTTTGTAGGTATATATCAGTATTTGTCCCTGGAAAAACCACAGTGCTTTAAAAAAAGAAACACCATACACATTCCTAGCAATATCTATGATGACGCTAATGTCGCAGGTTTAGAATTTCGATGGATAAAGTGCGAGACCACGTATCTCCATCGAGGTGTTTCAAAATCTCTGCTCCTGTTTTATTTTTTTGAAAGAAATCAAGCCAACTTTACAGCTCGTTAATACATATTACTCCAGCATCAAGGAAGAAAAATTAATGAAGTCTCAAAGGTATTAAGTTGACAAGTTTTTCAATGAAAAAATAAAGCGTGACGGGAAGTCTGCAACGTCGCAAACGGAGATACGTGGTTCCGGTATTTGGCCATCGATTTTCGTTTTTTCAAATCTGCTCGAGTTAATTTCATTTCCAAATACAACGATCTTTTTACGTTGGCTTACCTCAGTAGCGATTCTTGAAAGTTGGCAACACTCATTTTCTACAATTTCAATGCATGTAAAACAATCTCTTTTTGGTTAGGCGTGCTTGCCTTAAGCCCTCGTCTCACGATCAAATGAACTCATCAAATACTCATCAATTGCAAGATGGCGGGTTCATCAACATTTGACGGCTCGCTTACATTTGATAGCGGACTTGCGCGAAACCCAGTCGCCATCTTGCATTTGATGAGTATTTTATAGGTTCATTTGATCGTGGGACAAGGGCTTATCCCTAATCAAAAATCGGTATTTTATGGATTTAAATCGAGGAAAAATATAGTTACCAACTTAGAAAACCGTCTTTGGTTTACCTACCCACGCGCGTTCGTACGAGGACCATTGGTTGTGACTCTTCATCTCTAATTCTCATTCTAGTCCTTGCGTTTCGTTGGGCTTCCTCCAAAATACGGTTGTATGTTTCATCGGTGAAATGAGTTTCTGTTATGTAATAAATATCTCCCATCCAGTCGTAAGTACAGACTCGCTGATTTGACGTGCTCCAAGGAGCTGATCTCTGATTGCCAAAAGCGCTCCCATCGACAGTTGCATAGAAGTGCCGACGCGGGGTCGAGTTGATGGAAGTCCTCCGAGATCTAGCTGAAAGTGGAAACACACAAAGGGAAAATTCAACACACGAGGTGCGACCGTAACGCGTTTTCAGCGCTCGAACAATAGGAAGCGCTTTTAGATTTCAACCTGCCTCTAAAATTGTACGTTTTCAATGAATATGGGAGGGTACACCTACTTTACACTGTTAGAAATTTTAGAAGATTCCGGAGTGAGAATCACTCTTACGAATGAAAAAAAGAAGAAAAAAAGAAGAAAAAAAGAAGAAAAAAAAGAAGAAAAAAAAACACTAAGAAGTTCCAATGCAAACTGCCTGAGCTGAACACTCTCCCCCCTCAGTTTCGTACTGGTGCGCATTAGAGTTCAAAAAATTTACTTTTGACTCTAATTTTAATTTTTGAAATTTCTTGGCTTTGTTTCCCCGCGAAATGGTGTGGACCCAGCACCATTTCTCCACTTTGAATCACTCTAACTTCGCTTCTATTTTGCCCATGGAAAAATCGAGTGAAAATGCGAACGAGTGACCGACGGCGCGGAGTGAACAACACTCCTAAACTCGGCGTGTGATGCACCCCCAGCACAGGGTGCTAATCACTACACGAAGGAGTGATTTCAGAAAAGGGGAAGGGAGGCTCAAGAAAGGGGCAATATGCTGCTGCCACAATTCACGCGATGCTACCGCGCAGGGTTGCAAAATTTCATGGAATCACGCCGATAACGCTATCTGTCAATTATTGACGGAACTACTTTCTACTACTTTCTTCTCACTCCTCGAAGGAGTGATTATTACTCCGCTTCTCAGGTCACTCCGAATTTCACTCCGGGCTGCCCGAAAGATTTTTAGCAGTGTAACAACAAAGATTAATTTCGTTCTTTATTACTTCTACTTTTCAAAGGCACGCACGCTACAAAATGTTGCTGTTACATTTCTTGTCTTGAAATCCTTCTTTTTGTGCTAAAACCTAGAATATGAAACATTGTTTGTCCCGGCAGTGATTTGAGTTGGCTGGCAGCTTGATTCTGAAGCAAAACATACCTCTTTGACGTGGAATTGGTTCATCTGAATTTCGTTGCCCGCTCAGTAATCGCCATAATCCAGAAGACGCTGAACCATTGCCGCTGAGTAATCTCGATCTGCTACTCCTGCTGCCCCTGCAAAATATTAATTTTCGGATTCAATTATTTGCGTCTCAAATTGAATGTAAAAAACTATCGGTCGGGGTGATACCTATCCTCATTCACAATTTTTAAAGTAATTTGTTCTGGTTTGCACCAAAATGGTATTTAAGAAATAACCTTAGCTTCACCGTCCATTTTTTCATGCGCAAACCGGAGACCGAGTTCTCATGCATATCAAAATTACGTATCGTTTAAAGGTTCTATTAGATTTTTTTCATTTCTGCAAAGCTTCCCACGACAGGGGTACACTTCTCCGACCATAGTTCTCCTGCACGGTGTAATGCCTCGAAACACTTGCTCATTTTACAAAAAAATTTAACAAAAATATTGAACTTTATTTCTTGTCATAATCCCCTTCAGTTTGCCCGACGCAGCCAGCTTATCTGTAAGTAAGTGTGGTTGCCCGAGCCGCGTACACAGGTGCAAGGATTCGTTATGGAATGAGTTCTCTGTACTAAATTGGTGAACTCTAATCATCAAATCAATCTTAACATTTCAAACCTCAATATATTTGACATCATTAAATTTGAGATCAAGTTATACTACAATCTCCTGTATTTCCAAGGCCCGCTTTTTTCTGCTTCCGAATCCAGATCCTGAAGCCTCTGCTTCTGAGCATCGCTCAGTTTTTACTCTGACTTTTGGCCTAGAGCACTGAAAAAAAAATCTCGGTGTATTTACTAAGAAAAGGGTAAAATTACCAAGAATTCAGGGTTCTATTTGATCCCAATTTTTTCTTGGTAAAATTACCATTTATGGAATTGGTAATTTTACCGAGGAATCTCGGTAAAATTATTGAACTTTTTCGGTAATTTTATTAAACCTTGGTAAAAACGCCGATATTTTGTATCGATTGTGGTAGAATTGCCGAGATAAAATGGCAAAGTTACCGGGAATCGATTATCAATAAAAGTGGTATTCTTACCTGAAAAAAGTAGTAAAAATACCGGTTTTTAGGTAAGCTTACCAGTCTGTCTTGGTAAAATTACCAATAATTGGTAAAAAAAGTGAGATGGTAAAAGTACCAACGCACCTTGGTAAAAACGCCGAGAATTTTTTTTCAGTGAGCAACAAAAGAGCTGAACAGATAAAATTATGGCGTGACGATGTTGGCACCGTTTTGCTTGATGATCGGGGGGAATATCGGTTTCAGTGGCGTTTGAGAGTTGCGAAGCGCTTTAATGCGCTTAGTTAGCGGCGTGATATAAATATTTCAATAGTAGAAAAAACAAAAGATGAATCCGTCCAGAAATCTAAATTTGAAACAACACACCGGATAACTTACGTAGAGAAAACTCGGGAGACCTGACGCATCAAATTGCGAGCAGTATCCCATCTGCTTGTTGACCTGGCTGTTTCAACGTCCCTCAGCAGCTGGAATGAAAAATTCAAGCTCTGAATCAATGGGCCGTAAGTGCTAAACTAGGGCCAAAATTCAAAGACAACGCATTTGAATCAGTGTCGTGGCGTGCTTTGCGATGTATCAATTTTTATGCCATTTAAACCTATGGAAAAGGATCGATAAACAGGGTGTTCGCAGCGAACACCTTAATAATCGATTCTTTACCATTGGTTTAAACGGAATAACAATCGATACATCGCAATTCACGCCACGCCACTGATTTGAATCCACTTACAAGGACCTAAGATTATTTGCAATGTTTCAAAATTCCCGGAGATAGTTCAATTTTGTATGCATGGACGATTTTGTCGTTCCCGAGACGAAAAAGTGTGACTCCTTTTCAGCCTTAAAAGATTTTTCAAGGAGAGAATTCTTGTCAACCGTATCCTCAACTAGACAACGATGTTTATTCGTTTCCCAGACGGCGTTGCGTAAAAATGTTAACGATGGCAAACCGTGTTCGAAACTCACCTTTGAGTTATAGGAGCCAAATGACGCATAAAGCCCGATTTTTAGGCGCCACTGAAGATTTTTTAGGGGCCAAATTGACTTTTAGCACATATATTACGGTGCATTTAGTGAAAAGTTAGATGCACAATGTTTTTGCAACACAACTAGTAAGCGGCTGTACAAAAGCGCAAAGGATGGCATCGTGAAGAATAGAATAAACTTTCATTTGTAGTGTTGAAAATTTCGAATAATCACCTGATATGAAAATTCAGATTTTTAGGATGCAATTTTTGGGGGCCACGTTGGCGCAGAGCCTTCATTTTTCAGGCGCCATGGCCGATTTTTATGGCGCATTTGGCGCCTGTGAGTTTCGAACACTGGCAAAGAAAAAGAACATGAGTTTGCAGTTTGTGACAGCTCTTCTCACAGGCATCTACCTACATCATTAAACGTGCATGTGATTTTGAAGTGGAGGCATATTCGATACTTCTGAATTTCTTCTACACACTTTTCGATCATAATGTAGTATTTTTGGACATTTTTTTGCTTCTCCCTACGCAAAAAAGCATCTCGTAATCGGAGATCCTACGCAGTCAAAAATTTCCGTGTTTGATGTCACTCTGTATCACTGACATCGGATCATGATGGAAGTGTCCTGCTGAACTCATGTACTTTTTTTTCGCGATTTGCGAATATGGCTTGCGCACCGAATTTCCAAAAATGTGATCCACATTTGATCTTTGTGGCTGGCGATTAATTTTTAACAGGAAAAAACCAGGGGAGAAAAACGGGACAAAAGGCTAAAATATAACAATAAAAACCCGAGATGTTTCGACTCAAAACTGAGTCGTTTTCGGGAGGAAAAAAAATTTAAGATGAAAAAATATCGGGGAAAAAGGTTTTTCTCGGATCACCAAAATGTAACTCTCAGATGTTTCCTTCGATATTTTTTAATTTTTAATTTCTTTTCCGACAGAGAGTGACTCAATTTTAAGTCAAAACGTCTTGGATTTTTTATTGTTGTATTTTAGCCTCTTTTCCGTTTTCCCTAAATTGTTTTGCTCCTGTTACCATTCTCTCTGGCTGCATTGAAATAATTTGTATCTACTTAATTTTTAACGAGATCGCAGATTTGCAACATAGAGATTTGGCCAATTTGACACACACAGTTTGGAAACTAACACGCAAAAAAGCCACCAACCGCTTGTGTTTCTTCAGGTTTTACTTCCTGCCTTCACACAAGATTTTGGTTACTTCTTCTTACTGTATATTATTCGTAAGAAATGCAGCTGTTGACAATTATCCGAGAGGATTTTAAAGGAAGAATGGGTTTGTTGCACACATGTTTATACGTAGGTAGGTAACGTACGTACCGGGGAGCGCCAATAGTTATATCTGTTCGAAAAACATACACGAGGTGTTCGAAACTCACAGGCGCCAACGCGCCAAATTCGCCTAAAAAATCGGCCATGGCGCCTAAAAAATGATGGCTCTGCGCCGATGTGGCCCCTAAATATCTGAATTTTCATATTAGGTGATTATTCGAAATTTTCAGCACTACTGCAAGTGAAAGCTTTTTCCATTCTTCACGATTTCGTCATTTGTGCTTTTGTCTTTCCCAAGTTACAGCTACTTACTAGTTCTGTTACGGAAACATCTTGCGTCTAATTTTTCACTAAATGCGCCAAAATATAGAGGCAGAAAGTGAATTTGGCCTCTAAAAAATCTTCAATGGCCCCTAAAAATCGGGCCTGATGCGCCACATGGCTCCTAAAACTCAAAGGTGAGTTTCGAACACTGCATACACATTTGTTTCTCTCCATGAGCCTTGATTAGGCCGATCAACAGAAAAAGTACTACCAGTTCTGTTCCTGTAAAAAAGCATTAGACAAAGAGAATGATAGACGATCGGTTGCCCCAGCAGGTTTTCCGTTGGGTTCCACCCGGGTGGAGACGGCGAGGGCGTCCTGTGGAAGGTTGGCGACAAGGACTGGAGAAATAGATTAGGAACTGTCAATTGCCTCCTGAATACAGTAAAGGCTCGTTAAGACGAAAAATGAAGGGACCGAAAAAAATTTCGTCATAAGCGGCTTTCCGTCTTAACCGTTCTCCGCTTGAAACGAATTTTTTCGGTATATAAGAGGCAACTGCGCTTAAGACGAAATTTTTCAGCATAAGCCAGAATTTGGAAGCAGTTTTAAATTTTATACAATACGAAATCCAAATTTTGAATTTTTTTAAAATACGCAAATCGGTTTATCGTCAACTGTCGATTGTATCCCAGTCATCCAGCAAAACAGAGGATACCCACGATCTACTCTCAACCTACTCTTTTTATGTCAAGGTACGTAAAACTAAGTCTATTTTCCGTAGGAATTGGCTCTTTTTTGTCGTTTTTGCCCAATTTCAGGGGAAAAAATCGGAAATTTTTCTTCGTCTTAACCGGCTTTGGTTACGGGTCAAAATTTCGAAATTCCGTCTTATCCGTATTTTTTTTTACATTGACTCTTATGGAAGTGTCAAGGGACCGAAAAAAATTTCGTCTTAAGCGAATTTTTGTCTTAACCGTATTTCGTCTCAACGAGCTTTTACTGTACTCCTGATCTGTGGGTGGATATAAGGGACGATGGCGATTGGGTGTCGTAGAGCGCGAAGCTGCACTGTAAAAGCGGATGTTATGCATGTAAAGCTAATGAAGCATTGCGTCCATGATATTGGAATCCATAACCATTATATAATGCTCGTCTGCTCATCAGGTACAGGTCTTGGACTCCATGCTCTCTTGAATGACAGATAATTTTTTCAGAAAATCTAATTGAGTGCATAGCCTCCAAAATCGTGGGATGCATATAATCTCTGACATTAGACGAGCATACGGTCCAAAAATTTTGGGAAACACAATTTTTGTGAAATAATGACGAAAGCAGTATGTTCTCGTAGAAAATTGTGCACTGGTTACCCTGGTAACATTTTGCTTCTTAATCTGCGTCTTGGAGGCTTCTTGGAGGCTTCTGAAAAGTCCAAGAAGCTCTGAAGAAGACGATTTTTCTGTACTTGGTGACTACTTTGNTGAAAACTTGCACACTTCATAACTAGAGTGCGCTACCAGCCAGGAAGAATAATGAAAATTCATTTTATACACTCTTTGAATTTGGTTATATAACTTTTATACTAAGGGTTACATAATAAAATAAGTTTTTTAGTAAACTTTTAACTAAAAAACTTTACATCCATTACATAAACAATGAATATTCTTTAGCTTGTGGTTATTTACGGTTTATACTTTTAAAAACAAATTTTTTATATAACTCTGCTACTAGGGTTAGCAGAGATGCCGTGTTTTCAGTTTTAGAGTCCCCAAATAAAGTGGCAGTCCTGTCAATGTATTTGCTCCCTATCTTTGCACAGAGAGTTTGTCTTGATGTAGAGGTGGACTCTCAGGATAGCGTGGGATATCCCCTCCATTTTGGTCTCAACTTGAGAGTTTTTTTTGAGTTACGGAGTTGATTTCAGAGAAAACCAGTGGCACCATCGTGCTTTTCGCAAACTTTTACATAAGAATCAACAGTCAAATCGCAAATTCCTCACACATGCAACATCGCCATTGCCTCCTGAATACTGCTGATCTGTGGGTGGATATAAGGGACGATGGCGACTGAATGTCGCAGAGCGCGAAGCTGTACTGTAAAAGCGGATGTTATGCATGTAAAGCTAATGTAGCATTGCGTCCATGATATTGGAATCCATAACTATTTATGTAATACTCGTCTGCTCAGTAGGTCCAAGATCTTGGACTCCATGCTCTCTCTAATGAAAAATATTTTTTTCAAAAAATCAAATTGAGCATAGCCTCCAAAATATTGGGATGCAGATATTCTCTGGCATTAGACGAGCATACACTGATAAAAAAAACCTCTTGGTTCAAGAGTGCAGTTTCTTGTCGCCGGATTTAAGAGTCTTGAACTCTTGTTTCAAGCGTATTTTGCATTGATTCAATTCATGTTTGAATTAAATCAATGCAAAATCCGCTTGAAACAAGAGTTCAAGACTCTTAAATCCGGTGACAAGAAACTGCACTCTTAAGTCAGTGCACCGCGGCATTGAGGTCCAAGAGGTATTTTTTACCAGTGTACGGTCCAAAAGTTTTGTGAAACACAATTTTTGTGAAATAATGACGAAAACCATTCTCGTAGAAAATTGTGCACTGGTTAGGTTAGGCTAGGTCAGCTGAAGTCAAATAAGATGAGAAAAGTATGCGATTTTCTATTAAGATGCGAAGAATGGATGGACATTAAAACTAAGAAACTTCTTCTCGCATTAGGTTTCAGACGAGATTTGCAAGCAAGTATATAAAAGGTGAGCGATTGAGCATGGAATCCAATATCTTGGACGCGATGCTACATAATCGCATGTAAATACTCACTGAACTGCTGACCAATGAAAAGACGGCTAGGTAAAACCAAACGTGAACCCGCATCCTCCCGGCACACGAGTGAACCACCAAACAGAAACTGCGAGTGAC